GAATGGGCTCCACTTGTACTCGCCATCAAATTGGTACTAACTGATCAACACTAGGGTGCTCACATGGCAGAAATACTCTCCAGGGATTAGGGGGATGAGGGGGGTAAACCCGCAACTAAAGGACATGGGGAGCATTGTAGGGGGGAAGGGCATGCCTTTAACCCTCGCTTGGGTGAGGCAAAGACATAAAGTGTAACCAATATGTGTGTACCCTCACAATACCCTGAAATAATAATAAAAAAAAAGATGGTAATCTAGAAAAGCAAATAAGGTCAATTTTTAATATTTTAGGAGCTCTTATTAAAAACTCTATTTTCAAATAGATTCATATAGTAACAGCATAAATTAGATGCCAACATTAAGACCATTTGTCTAATGTGAAGTAGGGATGACATAGCAGAAAAGGCAATGAATCTGGCATGAGAATTCTCCAAATTCATATTATGGCTTCTGTCACTTATTAACTGTATGATGCTTGTCAGGTCAAAAGGTCTTAGAGCCTCACTTTCCTAAGCTGTAGAAAGGAGGTAACACTTTCTCCCATACAGACATGTGAGGAAGAACAGATAACATTTGTAAAAATTGCTTTGCATAGTTCTGACATAAGCCATTAAAAAAAAAATCACAGAAAAACTATCAAATGAATAATAAAAATTTATGAGTTTAGAATCTTCCTTTACAATACAACAAAGTTTAACATGTACAAAGGACAGGGCTCAGAGTTCACCTATGAATTCAAATTTACTTTCAAGTTATGAGAGAATAAATACAATGAGTGTATATTAATTAAATGCTTATTGTCTTGATGGGTGTTTTCACACATATTTTGCTTAATTCTAACAACCCTAGGATGTAAAATTTTATCGACACCATACAGATAAGATTCAGTCTCAGAAGTGTCTTGGCCAGGACTGTGCAGTCTGTATTTGAATCCAATATTAGACTTCCAGTTCAGTGGTTTATTTCTTAAATATAGCAGTTGTGATTCTTTAACATGTGGGAAATTTCCTAAAATTCTAATCATTAGTCAATGTAATATTTATTTGGTATTAGCTAAAAACATCCTTCAAAAGACTTTACACAATTATAAAAAGCTATTTTTTCAGAACTATTTAACATAGTTTATCTTAATATTTAGTTCAACCTAAGCTTGTCCCAAAAAGAATTTAAGGAAGCATTTTTTTTATCTAAAAATCTTACTTGGCACTACGCTGTTTGTATGGATGCAGAAATTCCTGGAGTGCTTACATTAAAAAAGTATTTACAGCACAAACATGATACAGTATGGAAAAATCCAACATTTTTACAAATCTAGGCTAAAATAAACAGTTGTACCCCTTCTAGATGTTTAAAATATATTTGAATATTTTCATTTTTAAGAGGGTCTACAAAACACATTTCAATATTATAGCATGTTTTAGAGAAAAATATATTTAAAGTGGTATTTTTAAGATTTATGGTTGCTAGATTATTGGTATTACAAATCATTAAGGTTTGAAAGTCCAGTAGACTCCTGTCTCTTGTATTAATTGTCCAGGGATAGTATATATTTACATTATGTTCTTATATTACAAGTACCACATAAACAGATCATCTCTAAGGTATTTTATTTCATGAGCCCTTAAATTAACCAAAACACAAGTGTTTTAATAATAAGATAAATGAATACTTTCTCATTAATTCAATGGTACCTTGCAAGGCTTCTCACAGATTCTTTTATGAACAATTTAATATTTAGAAAATGAAGTTTATGTTGCAACTCACCACTGGATCTGTAGGATGAAAAATATTTAGTAACCGGTTACAAATCTCTCTAGGCAAAATATGGTCTTGACTTCCAGTGTTTCCCGGGCGGATGCCACGCAATGCCAAAAAAACTGCCAGTGGGGATCCCATACAGAAGAAATTCTCAACCTAAAATGATAACAAAGTCTTCCTAAATTTAAAAAATGGCGAAGTGTTAATTTTTCAACTGAATTTGGGCATAACGTAATAGTAAAATATAAATAATAAAATTATTTTTAAGTGTATTTGTCTTTCTTAAATGAGCTTTGTCCAGATGGTATCTGCATTATTTGTTAATTACATGCCAACCATTAACCATTCCAGAATAATCTATTTCCAGGAATAATTTCATTATCTTTAAATCTAACAGAAGTTGAAGGATGACAAGAAGAGGAGGATAAGGATCATTTCATTGTGTGTTTCCATACACTAATCAAAGATTTACTGAGCTACTACTTTGTGTGAAGTAACATGCTAGGTGCTGTGATGGATACAAAGACCAGTAAGGCAGAGCTTCTGCATGCAGTTTACAGTCCTGTGGGGGAGGCAGAATGAAGCAAGTGCACAACAGAGGGAAAGAGTGCTAGAAGAGAGAGAAGAAAAGAATAATTGATTCCAACTCTGAGGGCTTTACAGAGGAGGTAGTATTTGCATTGGCCAGTAATAAATGAAAAGGATTTTCACAGTTGAGTTTAGGACATTGAGGCTAGAAAGAATGACATTCCAGACTGACAGAACCATGTGAATTAAAGTCAAGGCAGAAAAGAAGCTGGCTTGTTTCTGAGAATAGAAATAGTCTGATATGGCTGCAAAATTGGGAGTGGAGAAAAGGTAGCTTAGAATGATATTCAAAACCTTGATTGTTTGCCTAAGAAAGTTGGATTTATTTCATGGGCAGTGAAGGAGGACAGGATTTGCCCCATATTTTATAAGTTAAACCTGGTAGTAGTGTGTAGATGAACTAGAAAATTAACAGACTGGTGACCTGGAGACAAGTTAGGAATCTATTAAAAGAATTTAGGCAAGAAATAATCTAAGAAATAATCTGAACGAGGCAGGACAAACTTTCATTCAGAAATGGAAATGTGAGAGGATAGGGTGGAATCAATGTGACTGAATGGAGATGGTGATGAGGAATGTATGTGTCAGAGACAATTCAGAGGACAGGGTCTGGCTGACTGGGAGGGTAGTTAGTGGCTCCATTAATTGTAATATTCTGTTTTTTGTTCATCATAAGTGTGAGGTATCTGTGACATGTAGTATGTAGCTGAGAATTTAGGACAAGAGATACAGAATTGGATATGTCATCATCTAAATCTATATGTTACCATCATAGACGTGACGTAAAACCAAGAGAGTAAGTAAGTTTGCCTAGAAAGTGCACAGAATAAAAGGAGGGCTTTATATAGAACTATGAGGAAGGTCTACATTTAATTAGCAGGTGAAACAGGTAGGGCTACAGAAAGGAGAGTGAAAGGAGAAACAGAACCCAGATAAACCAGTATCATGGAAGTCAAGGGAGCAGGATGGCTTGAAAATGGAAAAATAGGGTGGTCAACAGCATTGGACTATATACAGAACACCCTGTCCTCCTAAATCTACCCTACCTCTCATATGTCCCATCTTGATGAGTGAGATCCCAAATTAATCTTTCCCTCTCATCCCCAACATCCAATAAGTCAACCTAACAAATTCTAACATTTCATCACCTGTCCCCTGGACTAAATTGTACGAGTGTCCCTGCCTCCAATTTTATATACCTTTAATCTCTCCCCAAGGTGCCTCTAGAGTGATTTCTCTTTCTTTTTCAAAATGAAAAAATACATGTGAATGAACATACATTTTGAAATGGTACCTTTATGTTAAAGAAGGTTTGAAAAAAAATTTTTTTAAAGGATTGGGTGACTTACATGCTTGAAGGCCGAGGAAAATGAACTTGTATCAATAAAAAGTAAAAACATGGCCGGGTGTGGTGGCTCACGCCTGTAATCCTAGCACTCTGGGAGGCCAAGGTGGGAGGATCGCTCAAGGTCAGGAGTTCGAGACCAGCCTGAGTAAGAGCGAGACCCTGTCTCTACTAAAAATAGAAAAACTTAGCTGGACAACTAAAAATATATAGAAAAAATTAGCTGGGCATGGTGGCGCATGCCTGTAGTCTTAGCTACTCAGGAGGCTGAGGCAGGAGGATCGCCTGAGCCCAGGAGTTTGAGGCTGCTGTGAGCTAGGCTGACGCCACGGCACTCTAGCCCGGGCAACAGAGTGAGACTCTGTCTCAAAAAAAAAAATTAAAAATATAAGAAAGCATCTTAAATGCTTGACACATGAAAATACTGATTTCTGAAAGGAGTAAGGTCATTTCTTCTGTAAAGTGAGAAAAGAAAAAGGAATAGAGGAAGATATGAAAATAATTGAGATAGAAGAGAAATCTATGTAAATTCTTTCTGCTTGATACACAAGCTTGTGTGCATGCAGGTGTGCACACACACACCCTACCTAGAAAAATGCTCTATGCATTGGTCAGGCACTCTATAAATGTTTGCTAAATTGTTATATCCATGGAATAAACAACTTTTCTTTCTTTATGATGAGACTGTAGTTTGACAGAAAAACACACAAAGGAATTATTCTCTTTCAGAAAAGACTAATGACTACTTTAGTGATATCTATATCCATCAAAGAATTTTATTTATTTCCTTTTTTTTTAGTGATAGGGTCTTGCTCTGTTGCCCAGGCCCAACATTGGTCACTGTAACCTTGAAATCCTGGGCTCAAGCAATCCTCCTGCCACCTCGGCCTCTGAGTAGCATACCTGGGACTAGAGTGCACCACCATGCCTGGCTAATCTTTTAAAAAATTTTTTGTGGTGACAGGCATCTTTTATATTACCCACGCTTACATTAAAGAATTTTAAAGGTTAAAAAAAGTATTTTAGATATTTAGGCTAATCTTCTTGTTTAGAGATGAGTAAATAGATGAATTCAGATATGTTAAATGACTTGGCTAATGTCACATAACTAGTTAGTGGCAAAGCCTCATAATCGGAACAAAAATTTCCCATACTCCACACCAATGTTTGTCAATATTCTTCTTTTTCTTAAGTTTAATGGCCAACTGTGATAGATCTAACCCCTATATTCTGAAAAGATACATAATTATAGTGTAAGTAGTTCTAGTAATGTAATATTAAATTTTGAGATCCTAATATACTTAGTTGATCATACCCAACTCTCCAGTTAAAAAACCCACAACATGAAATGGAGTTTATTTTTTTCTACCAGATCAATTCTATACATTTAGCATTAATTATATGATAATGATGGTAGAGATGGAACTCAAATTCCAGACTGGGATGACTCCAAAGACCACACTCTGATGGATTTTAAATGTATGTTATAGCTTACCATATGGTTATTAATATATAAGTTTTTTGGAAAAAACTTTGTAAGTCATACAGATTCAATTAAAAAAAACCCTCTTCCTGTTTTAAAAAAATTTCTTCATCATTCCACATCTTAACCTGTGTGTTAAGTTCTTATGATAAAAGAAACACATTTCGAGAAGAGGTTATGTAGTAGACATGAACATATATATATGCAAAAGGAAATGGGTATTAGGAAACTTATGACATCCCCCCCTAACACTGCAAACAGGTTATTTGTTATTCAGCTAAAGGGTGTGTCCCTTCCAACTGTCTAGTCAACACTGACATCTCTCTGCCACCTTACATTTTCCTAAACCACTACTTTCAACAGGTCATTCTGACACTCAAAAACACTGAGAAGCTTCCTACTGCCCATATCAAATATATTACAGCTATTCCTACTCTCCCACAGCCCCCTTGCCCTGAGTCCATTTAGCCAAACTGGTTTATTCTCCCCACTCCAAACCAACCCTGTACACCCGTCTTGTGTTCTTGTCATACGCTTTTCATTGAAATGCCAGCTGTCCATTCCTGGAACCATTGCTGATATACTTCCTCTTATTTTTTCTCACCACTAACCAACTAGGTGGTCACGAAGGTTTGTTAATTCCAAATAGTAACTATTTCCCAGATCTGTTGCTATTTTTCTTTTCCACTACTCCAGATTATTTGGTGTTTCTTGAGGGCCTAAGAAGTTACACCCCTCCATGCCTTTGTTTATGCTGTGCCTTTCACACAGAATAGCATTTCTCCTTTCTTCCACTTGGCAATATCTAATTCACTGAGATCAAGTATAAATATCATTCCTTAGTAAACCTTTAGCAGGCAAAAGTAAAATCTCCTTCTCTTGTGCATATATCGTCTATATACTGCTAATAGCACCAATAATACCGAGTATTTCTGAGGGCTGGGGAACTGTCATATCTATTATTTTCTTTGTAGAACCCAGACTAACAGTGTCCAACACATAGTATACGTTAAATAAATACTCATTTGAAAGAATGATAAACTTTTATTTGAATCCTAAAGGCATGTTTCAAATGATGTTTAAAAAGAATACTGAGATACATAATGAAAAACTCATTGCTCTTCTCTTACCTTAAATTTTTTTTTTTGAGACAGAGTCTTGCGCTCTGTCGCACTGGCTAGAGTGCAGTGGCATCATTACAGCTCACTGCAACCTCAAGCTCCTAGGCTCAAGCCTAGGATTCTTCTGCCTCAGCCTCTCAAGTAGCTGGGACTACAGGCGCGCACCACAACACCTGGATGATTTTTCTATTTTTAGTAGAGATGGGGTCTTGCTCTTGCTCAGGCTGGTCTTGAACTCCTGGCCTCAAGTGATCCTCCTGCCTTGGCCTCCCAGGGTGCTAGGATTACAGGCATGTGCCACTGTGCCCGGCCTCTTACCTTAAATTTTAAGGCAGGTGCTTGTGTCATAGATGATGCCTTCAATCCATGTAGCCGTTCTTCTATTTCCTTCAGCCTAGTAAGGGGTATGAGATTATAGACATGTATTTATAATGTCATAAATATTAGATGCTTACTAATTTACTGAAGTGTCAAGAAGTAATGATGAGCCATTATCCATGCCTCACATTAATCTCTGTTGACACTATTTAAATAAATGCATTTGCTATGGTATAGAAAGTCTATAAAAATCCATAAAACAATTAGTAATAGTAAAAGTACCCCTAATCCTCAGGATACCTACTGTTAATAGCTTTTTTAAAAGTAAAATGTGAAGCATATACAAACATATATACACCTTTAAAAAAATTACACCAAATAGTTAATACCATATATGTTATTCTATGTCTATCTCTTTCTATAGTTAGTAAAGAATCTTAGAGATCTTTTCATTTCATTGTCTCCTGACCTACTTCAATTTTTATAACAACTGTAAAACTGACTATCATACAGATGAACCACAGTTTAACCTTTCTTGCAGATGAACATTTGGGTTATTTCATCTTTTTCCATTACAATATTCCATATCTACTTACATTTAATAAACTATTCAGCTAAGTTTTTT